ACAACCCGGGCAAGCTGGCAGAGCCCCCCGGCTCCCCCACAGCCCTGCCTGGTGTGACCCACAGCAAGGGACAACCCGGGCAAGCTGGCAGAGCCGCCCGGCTCCTCGCGCCCTGCCCGGCGCCGCGAGGCCACCTACCTGGCTGTAGCTCGGAGCGGCCGCTCTGCCTTGAGCGCTGCGGGCCGGGAGCGCTGCCGCCGCCGCAGTGTCGCCCAGGGCCAGCGTCTGGTTGCTGTGGTAGCTGGCCGAGTACTGGAAAGAGCCCTCGGGTTTGGAGTTGAGCTGCAGGGCGCTCTGGGAGAGGAGGCCGGGCCCTGCATGGAAGGGAGTGCGCAGCGGTCAGGAGGACGCGGTGCAAGGGGGCGCGCGCTGTTGCTTATTCACTGGGCTCCGAACCCTGTGAGGATTACATGACTCCGCGTTTCCCTGTGCTGGCTGTAATAAAATCAGGCCAAATTAAAGGGATTCTTTCCCACTCCATCAGCTGATGGCATTCTCCAGCTGCAGCCAACACTTCCTTTCTTCAAAACAAATCCACTGCCACCTGGTAAAGAAACCCAACAGTGACACAAACCCAGAGGTGCTGCTTGATAAGAGCGCCCTGTTTCCCCCCTTACAATGAGCTCTCTCTTTCTTTGTGGGAGAGAAACCTGCTTTCCTTAACTGCAGGCAGTCCCTCAGCGAGTGCCCCTTCCGCCCCGCTCCAGCGCCAGGTGGCATCTGTGGATGGCTGCCCCTCCGCCGCGCGCCCAGGTATCGCTCTGTGCCTGCAGGGATGGGTGGCAGCCCTTAAAATATTAACAGCTCCTCTCATCCTGAAGGGCTCACACTGACGGCAACCACTCTCTGATGACTGTTTTGTCAGCCCCGCTTATCTTTCCCATCGCAGCAGCAGAGCAAAAGCGAAGGGTGTTTGGAAATTCAGGAATGGGAACAGCGACACTTACCATAGTCATTTAGTTTTTCCTGTGCAATTAAAACGTGCTCCAATCAGGCTCACTTCCAAGGGACTTGGCTTCTCACCTGCACACAGCAAACTTCCCAGTTTCTGCTCTGGGAGCATGGACCTGACAGGGAACAGCTCTTCCTTCAGCGCTCTGGCAACGTGTTCAGGCATGACCTCCCCAAACCACTTCTAATGGAGAGCTGTCTCCATACACGGATATTCCTTACTAAAGGAATTCCTGTGGTCAGGAATATCCATCTAACCGTCTCCCCATGTCCTCACTGACATTAGTCTCTTCTCATTTTCAAACAACCCAGTCTTCTTCCATGCTGTGCAGTGTGGAAGCAGGGGCAGAGGGACGAGGGTTGTGCCCTGGGCACACTGCGCCCTTTGAGGGACTGCAGCCCAACAGCGATGGGCAACAGGATATTTGGAGGCTCTGGGAAGATGATGCGTTCACGCCCTGCTTAGTGCTAAGCGTCTCACAAGCGCACCGAAGGCGGCAAATATCCCATGGGATGTGAGATGATAGCATTGATTTAGCTCCTATAGAACATAGGAACAGTTATATATATATATATATATATATATATATATATAGTCTCTCTCTCTATATATGTATTAAAGAGACTGAGTTTTACTGGAAAAAAATTCCACTATTTTTGTAATAAAATGCCCAATTTTCAGTCCTTTAAATCTTTGCCACGCACATACACAGCTGCTCTAAAAAGGTCCCCATTTAGAAAACATGCAAATAACTCCCCCAAATTAATGGTGAAAACATTCTTCTCTCTAGTTTGTTTCGCAGAAATGGCAGAATCATTATAACTGACATTTGCGAAAAATCATCAGCCTGAGGCAGAAATCTGGTGTGTAAAACCCAACCTGAATGGCTCACATTACAAACAAACTGAAGTAGGTTTCCTAATAGCAAGAGCACTGCTGGCGTCTAACTGGAGACAGTCATCAGAAAACTCTTTTATCTCACACGCAGACACAACTTATACCACAAGGTCAATCACACGCATCAGAAACTTTCAGATTTATGACAATTTTGAAAGTAAATTCTGGCCTGTTTTCCCGACAAGTACTGAATGAGACAGGGCACGGAAAAAAATGTACACCCTGACGTTATTAAAAATATACCATATGCCTAGGAGAGCTGAATTAGCTCTGCCCGTCTGCTTGGAAATCCAACATTTGGTGGGTGTCTACTCTCTGACGTTGCAAATAAGGTTGACTAAGTGCTTTTGAGCAAGATTTGCAACAAAACAAAATAAACATTTTCATAGAAAGTTTTAAGAGCATAACGAAAATATTGGCTTAATTTTAAAATATATATTTTAAATTTATTTCAGTCCTTTGGATTTTGAATTTTCATTGAAAATTTGCTGGTGACCAACTAACACATTTCAGTTCATAAAATTTATAGTATCATCAAAGTTTCCCAGGAGGGGAAAGAGATACAGCAAGCAAGACAATTTTTACTCATGAAAGTGTTTGTAACCAATTTAAAAGGAATTATGATCAAACTGCCATATACTATGAACTCAATATGTTAATTTTTTTACTTCATCTGTCTTTCAGGTGCTCTTTTCTTATTGCTGTTGCTTGCTAGGGGTTTTGCACAGCTACCTAGAATCACATCCAAGTTTCCTTCCTACAACATAGCCTAAAACGATTAACGTTCTTAAGGAAACTTATCCAAAAACTTTAAAAAATCTTCTTTTGATGCTCATGGTTTTAAGCTCACTAGATACTACATAGCACTGCTTGTTCATTATTGTCTGGTAAAGTACAAAATAATTATAAACTGCATGTGTTTGAATGAAGTGACTGCAAACTCTTTTGAGATAGCTAGCTAGAAAAATAATTTAGAACAAAAACAAAATACAAACATTCCTCAAGTAAAAGTAGAATAGAAGTGAAATGCCTACCTGCAGATAGCTCTATTTATTTATTTATTTTGGGAAAATAAAAAAATCTCAAAGATACATTTGAGGTAAGAATGATCTTAGAAAAATAAACTAAAAGAAGGCACAGGTTCCCCTTTCAGTATTGAGTGACTACAAACAGCAGCCCCATTTTTTTTTCTGCTAAAGAAAAGATGGATCACTTTTCTCATTAGGATCCTTGAGATTTCCATCTAAAGGCAAAAACAAACCTTCGTAGGAGCCTGCGGGTCACAGAGCAGGGAAGAACGCGGCTTGTTTGTGTGCTGCCATACAGTGAAAGAAGTGATAAGGCTTATCCTGGCTCTTTACAACACGCTGCCTCCACTGAGAAACAATCTGAACTCTGATGTGGTGTTGTTTCGACAAGCAGTTTGTTTTAGGCAAGTTAGAAAGAAAGCTTAAAGAAAGTTAAGAAAGGTAGGTAGGAATTCTGTATTTTCAGTCAGTTACTCTAAATCACTCCTTAACTAATGGAATAATTCCAACTTATTTGTTACCTTAGTGCTATGTCCTTGGCTATCAATCTGCAATTCAAAATAAGCCTGAAAACAAACACTTCCAGCTGAATATGGGTCGTTTAGCAGACCCTGAGTATTAGAGCACTGCTTCAAAATACTGCTTCAAAATTGGGACTAGCTGTGAACTAACATCAAAAGGGGGCCCTGGGTACAGTAGGGCTGCCCCTCATCCCCACCCGGGCCCCTGCGGCCTGCCCCAGTGAGGAGCTCTGGCCGCAGGAGCAGCGATTGCATCTCGGCTGGGAAAACCCAAGCACGCCTAAGCTGGGCAAAGCTTGTGGAACAAGAAGAAGATTAGGCAAGAGGAAGAGCAAAGGAGCAGGGACTCTATCACGGGGTGACACACAGCCAAGCACGCAGGAATTCTTTTAGGAATCACAGAAGTTCGTTGGGACCTACTTGAATCGGCATTTTTCCCCCCCATGAGCCACTGCTTTTCCTTCTGAATAATCATACAGTGCTGTGGCAAGGTGCAGCGTAGCTACTGAAAAGCCCAGCCAGTGAAGCGAGCAGTTTCAGAAGATATTCTTATTCATTCAGAGACATCACCGTAGCAGCTGATTATAGGAAATCAAAGTTATACAAAGAATCTCAATTATCATCATCATCATCATCTATGGCTTTGCAAATGGGAAAAAAAATAGGAGAACATTTTTCCTTTTAAGTGTGATATATTCTTTAGTAATGAAATCTTGGGTTTATCCTTTCTGTTGTCTTCAGACCACAGGTCAGAGTCCAAAAAAGTTACAACCAACCACACTCCGTGTCCCCCCAAAACACCAAAAAAAAAAAAAAAAAAAAAAAAAAAAACCCCAAACCAACAACAAAAACAATCCAATCAAAGCTTAAAATTACGATTTAGAATGATTATTTTAAGGTAAGCAATTGGTTTTAAACAGCGAATATTTGCATGCAGAAATTTTTTTACACAGGTGTTAAAAACAACTATATTTTAGGATATTTTTCATGTTCTCTAAGTGTGTTTCTATCTGTGCCCATGCTTCCTAACACAATGAAAACATAGATATGATAGAAAATTTACATACAAACTTCTGATTACTTCTTATGAAACAATTGACAAGATATTACAGATCAATTAGAAAAGAAAGGAATGAAAAACCAGTACGGCAACAGTACAATTCCACCAGTGTAACTCTCGTACTCTCAAGAGCAATTTGCAGAATGCTCCAACAGAAGTGGCAGCTTCTAAGACGCGTTTTGCCGTGCCAGCTTCTAAGACGCATTTCGTTCTGCTGGTCCCGCTGCCGCAAGGGGGATTTGAAACTTCCTGACTCTGCCAGGCGCCAGGAATACGCATGTGGCTTCCCAAGGCCTGGGGAAGAAACCCCGCGCCGCACGCGGCTCCCCTCGCTGTTCCCAGCCCCAAGCAGGGAGCAGGGCGCCCAGGCCAGAGGGGAGAAAGAAACACATGCTTAATGGTGAGCAAGGCGCAAGGATCACAGAACCACAGAATGTTTAAGATTGGAAGGGACCTCTGGAGATCATCCAGTCCAGCCCCCCTGCACACGCAGGGTCACCTAGAGCACGGGGCACAGGGCTGCCTCCAAGCAGCCACAGAGCCCTGGCACAGGCTGCCCACAACCTCCCACGGCGCTGTCACCCTCACTGTTAAGACATTTTTCTTAAGTTCCTGTGGGACTTTTGGTGCCTCAGCTTGTGGCCGTTTCCTCTAGTCCTATCGCTGGCCACCACTGAAAAGAGGCCCGCCCCCTCCTCCTCACTGCCTCCCTTGAGGTGTTTATAGACACTGATCAGGTCCCCCCTCAGCCTTCTCTCCTTCAGGCTGAACAGGCCCAGCGCTCTCAGCCTTGAAGATCACAGTGCAGCACGGAATTTTGATTCAGTGAGCAGATGTTAATGCCCACTGGAAAACC